GATTGCACTTTCCGCCTACTTGTTCTTTGTATGCTGTTGTAAACCGATGCACTTGTGTGTGAAGTTTTACGTTGGTTTTTATTCCTGTCAGAGACGCTACGAGAAATGAAAAAATATATCAATCAAGATAAGTGGGTTAAGGCTGTTATTATAGTGGCTTACCTTGGTGAATAAACTGAATCTAACTGAAAATTGATCATTGCATGGTGAAACATTTAACTGTTTACTCTCAAACTGTTTGAATTAGCACAGCGGGTAATTTTAGACATAAATTAAGAGGAGTTCTGCACATCACAAGATGACATATCATCATCATAATGGAATCACAATGTATAACAGCATAAAAGCCTAGTTTCTGAAGATTCCTAGAGTAAGTTTTTATTTTATGCACAATTTGTAGACAATGAATGGGTTAATATTGATACAATGTACTTTGTGACAAGCCTGTTGGTTAGTTCTGAATTCACTATTATACTGAAATTATATATTGTACATTTTATTATTTAAATTCTTATCATTCTCCTCCTCTCCTGCTTCAGTCTTCTCTCTATTCATCGCAGGGTTGCTGTCAGTGCCTCTTGCGTACTAAGCGGTCAGTTAAGCGTGCGTTCTACATTCTTTCGAAATATATAACCGTTGGCGACGAAGATATATCAATATAACCTTTCTCAACATGTAGAATACACTTTTCGTCCCTTTTCTGGCATATCCTTCCCTCTACAATATTTGTTGGATCCTGCAACTTATTCATGAACCAGTTATAAGTTCTTCCCTATTTGTTCATACAATTTATGGGTTTTTGCCACACCATATAGATATCGTCTCCCCATTCAAGCTGATGTTTCTCCACCGAAATGATTAAAGTATGCAACCATTTTGTAGAATTTGATGCTCAATTTATTCGAGAAAACCCCGAGATAAATTGGATCGATGCTTGTTCTGCTTCAATCTTCATTCTTGCTCTATTTTACTCAATCAGTGGGAAGAACCGTATGAAACAAGTGGTTTTCATCGGTGAATGATAAAATAATAGATATGAGTCAGTGATAAACTTCCCTACTCTCACAAGCCGCCTTTACTCATTCATTGCATCCATTCTCAGACAGAATACTTCCCATTCACATGAATTGAATATTCAGTGGTGTTGATCTAACAAATTTTCTTTGATTTGGAGGTGACAGAGTATTAATTGAGTTCAAGTTTGTTTTCATGAGGGACTTACATCACTTAGAGGACCACTGAAAATCTGGTAGGTTTCGACAGCTGTTTCATTTAAACGTGTGACTTCTAAGTGGTGAACAACCATGACTGCGTTACAGCCCGAACTCAAGGCTTTTAGTAAACGCGGTGAGCATGTTATCTCTGAGGCACTGCATCGGAGCTCAATCCTGTCTATTTGCCCACTCCCGTCAGTTGTGTCAGTGCTATCAGGTTTCCAATGATTCCGCAACTCATGCCATTGCATGATAAAAGTCCAATGGGAATATTCTTAAGTCTGTCAAAGTCTTCTAATCACATCCTTTACTAGCGAAAATGAACAAACGCCTCAAAGTGCCACTATCACGGTATTATTGTTGGTCTCCCATAAGTGCTGATTATTGCAGATCCATCCAGTCCTTCAAACAAAGAAACACTCATCAAATTGATCAGGCTTATTTGATCACAATCTGTAAAGAAAAGAAATTTTCACGAAGAGAAATAAAGATTCTCCAAAAAATTTCAGTCTTCAGTCTACCCTCTGGTATAACGATGATTTCATCCTTATCTCAGTTGTAGAACCTTTGCTTTCCCCTCATTTCTACTTCACCTATCGTGTTACTATTACAGATTCAATAACAAACTGCTATAACACTTTCATACGTGTCTGATATATCTTGGCTATAAACAAAAGAGAGGACGCATTCAGATTCTATCGTTGATGAGCGTGCAGCTACTCAGTGAGGAGCAAAGTCGGTGGGATGACAGAAGTTGCACTGCAACATCAAACTGTATGCATAACACAGTTGTTTCTGTATGTATGTATAATTATTATTTTAGTATTTGTCCCTTGGGTTCCTAATGGACCATAGGGCTTCAGTAGCACGCCTCCATTCCACTCTGTTTTCTGCTGTCTTTTGAATCTGGCTCCACGACTTCCCACAGGCTTTCATCTCCTCCTCACATGATCTCCTCTATGTCACCCTCACCTGGAACGCCCAACTCGTCCCTCCCCATTTGGATTCCACTCGAGGCCTGGCGCGTGATGTCCCCGAATGGTCTTTCCCAGTGCATGCCGAGTCCATCTCCACTTCCTTCTGCATATTTGTTCAGCGATAGGTTCTTGGTTGTTTCGTTGCAGGCCAGAGTTCCTTGTTGCTGATTGTTTCTGGTCATCTGATCTTCAGGAACGAGTGAACGTAGGCGGTTGTTGACGAATGACTGTAGTTTGTTGGAAATGCCTTTCATAACGCGCCAAGTCTCTGAGCCATACAGAAGCACTGATTTGACGTTGGTATTGAATATCCGGATCTTGTTCTTTGTGCTGAGTGCAGTAGATCACCACACTGGTTTCGGGTTAATGAACGCCTGTGTTGCTTTTTCGATCCTGGCTTTGACGTCCTCGTCTGTGCCACCTGTAGTTGAAACGGTGCTGCCTAGGTAGATTAAAGAGGCTACTTGCTTTAAGTTTCTCCCGTTGATGGTGATTGGAGTTTGTTGTTGTTGGTGGTGGCGTTGGTTGGGTATCATCATCACCTCTGTCTTCTCTACATTCACTTGAAGTGCCGTCTTCGCTGCCCTGCCTCGCCTCTTCTGTCAACTTGTTAGTTTTTGCCTGTAGATCTTCGAGTTTGTGTGACATTAAACATAAGTCATATCGACGGAATCCGAATCTTCCACTGGTGTCTTTTCATCGGTCAAACAGCATATCCCCCTCCTCTCTCTCCTCACTGTTTGCTGCATGATCCAGTCGACCACAATCGGGAAGATCATGGGTGATAGTAGGCAGCCTTGTTTCAATCCTGTCTTCACTTCAAAAGCATCACTGAGCTTTCTATTGTGAATTACTTGGCATGAGGCGTCTACATATAGTTGTTGAATGAGGTTGATAAATATTTGTGGCACTCCATAGTGTTGTAGCAACTGCCGAATTACTTCTCGGTCGACGCTGTCGAAGGCCTTTTCAAATTTCTGAATTCATTATTATATTGAAATTATATATTGTACTTTTTATTATTCAAATTCTTATTTTTATCCTTCTTTTTATCATTTAGCGGTCATATTTGCTAAATCATGTAAGTAGTTTGACTGGCTGCTTGCAGTTTTAATCTGCTTATGATTTCTTGAGTTCTGAGTTCGGTGATACTCCATGCACTTATGTTGAGGTTGTATAAGTATCCATCTTCAATAATCTGCTATTGGAAATTCTAGTAAATCCAAATCTTGTGATTCACTTGGGTTGAATTGTAATGAACCTTGAACTCTGAGTCTTTTTATATTCTTGTCTCTATATGGTAAGGATAACTGGACGTCTTACTTTGTCAAAGCTGCAAACACTCATGAAACTGAATCGGTGTAGGACTATATTTTCAAGTAGTATCCAATATTTGATTGTTTTTTTTAGAATATTCTTTTGAGTAATGTTTACTGAGTTATAAAACTGCAGGATCGGAGGTTTGTCTTGATCTGACTATAAAAGTGCCTGTTTAGTGTTGCTGAGGGAGATGGACTTTGGAGTGTATCGTTCTCTTCTGGTGAATTTCTCCAGCTTTCGTCCAAATCCTCATCACCTCTAGGCATGCATATCGATTTGAATGTGTCTACGGGCGCATATATCCACTAGAATGATTCAGCACCGAAAAAAACTGCGAGGAGCTCGACAGCGAAGCATTTAAGGGTACTATGGGCATAATACAGAAGCATTTGAATTCTTAACGACAGTCGGTAGGCAGCAGAACCAAAAGATGTTTGTGCAAGTACAGAAGTTTCTATAATTTAAATTGTCTGACAATGTCTGTTTGCAGAAGGAAATGCACTTAACTTGATTCTGATATTAACTATAGATAGTAGCTAGCGGCAGAATCCCAAATGCAGGTTTCGTCCAGTTTGGGACTCGTCAGCCGGATGCAGCTGCCACCTAAATATTGATGGTGTTCCCATTAATACTCGAGCCCAGGTGCGATCGCTTGAAAAACCACAAGCTTATCCATTGGGCTGTTGAGTCAGGATAACCATTCCTTTTACAACGGCCATAGTATCGTACAGTCCAGTCAGTAATGGAGATTAACAAACTGTTTTATCAAAGACAGTAGCTTGAATCTAGCAGTGAGTGATGGTATTCTTGAACCTAGTGCATACCTGCATGCCTCAGTGGTTAAAGGGATAACTTCCTGGTGTTCAAAGCTATAGTACTGGGTTCGTGTCTCGGTGGGAACAACATCACTCACTGGAATTCAGGTGCATCCGGCTGACGAGTTCGGCTTCCACCCCCAGACACCAGCTAATAAACCACAACATAATGCTTTTACTGGATTAAAAACGCTTGAAAACAAAATGTGAAAGTTGTTGCTTTTTGTCGGTGATTTAAAACCTAACTTTTAATTTCGAGGTTTGTACAGATTATTTTATTTATTTCAAGTTGGTATTCATCATGGACTGACATCAGTTGGAGAAACACTGGAAACCTGGGAGTTTCAGATAGCTGTTTCGTCTCAGTACGGGACTCCTCAGCAGTGCGCACCCATGAGCTTGCTACGGATCGAACCCAGGATATTCCGGCTCGACGAAGCCTCTATCCAGTGCTATCGTTGAGTAAATGTTCTCATGTTCGATTTGGTTAGCTCCACGGGTCACGACTCCTAATTAGAACGTCAGAAATTACCTCTTGAAGCTGTTCACCAAACAGCATTAGATAGATTCACTTCTGATGTTTGTAGGAATTTATTTTCACTCTTCACATTTACTAACAATAACAGTTTCAGTATGCGTCTTACTGTTATTCGAAGTACACAGAAGGATTCAGATATTTATGCAATAAAAGTTTTTTCTTTCCCAATAGAATGAAACAAAAGCGCACAATCATGAAACATAATCTGTACAAGTAAAAACAAAAGCTGCATATTTTAATAGAATGTAAAATTGTTAATTGAAGTTATGCTTGACTTTTCTACAGTTCAAGCATATATTGTGTCAGGAGGTTAGTTCATCTAATTAGAGTTCGTTCACACATTGGACTGTGTACCTTGAAAAGAAAGAAAAGAATATGTACGTTCACATATGTACACATACACAGTAGTCTGAATAAAATAAACTTTAAAATAAAGTCATGGATCACTGAAACATTTTTATACAGAATAACTTTCATCCTAATTAAACAAATGTAGTGGATTGAATACCTTGAAATACTGACTTCTTGTTACAATAAACTTGTCAGCTGAAAGCGCTCTTTGCGTGGTATCTGGTAAATTATTGGACTAACCTTACTGTTATCAATATCAAGGGAAAATAATATTTTATATTCTGCAGTTGATAGTTATAGGCTAAAATTGTGAAATTCGACATGTGGAGGTCTCGGTAGGAACATCATTACTCACTCGAATTCGAGTACATCTAGTTGACGAGTCCTAAGTTGAATGAAACACTCGTTTTGAATCCACTGCTAAACACCATCAAGGATATTACAAATGAAGCAAGTATTCTTGAACTTCATCCTGGATGTCACATGAAAACATCTTGAGAAAAATATATTTTAAAGTAAATAATTACAACATCAGTCGAAAATGTAATAAAATGATTGATTTGTACACTTCTTTATACCTTATGGAAAATGTTAACAGTACAATTTTGCCTAAAATAAATTCAGTCACTGATGTTATTTCTTCTACATTTGCATCACTGAACGGACCAAAGTAATCGGTGTCTATTGGGATTCCAGCTCCTACATAGATGCCTCGATATTCGCTTTGTTGGAATTATAAATTAATGATGAAAAGTGGTTGGAAGTGGAATCCAGCTTGACTTGCTTTTTGTCCTATCCGGGGACTAGTCAGCTGAATGTACCTGCCTCCCAAAAATCCACTGCTTTCATACATTGAACAAAGTCATTCGAAAGGCAAATCTTTTGAAACGGTTTCACTTTTTCAGTCCGACTAAAAATCCATTACAACTAACATACTCCATGAGAATAAACTATTTGACAATATCAGAGACCCAGGAAAACATATTCTCAGTAGATCATGGAAACTGATTATGACGGATATAGAGTTTTATCAGTTTTTTCCTGTGCACAAAATGTAAGGCAATAATTAGTTTAACGTATCCTCAAAACCTTTCATTCTGTTGAAGTTAAAGTACAATTAATTCAGTGGAAACAGACATCAGTGTCAATTGTATAAACAGTTATTAGTAAAAACTTAAAAAAGCGCAAGATTCATCACTTCTAAAGGAGGGGGATGCTTCTAGGCATCCTGTTGTCAAACTCCAATCATTTGATATTCAACAACGTTGTTGACTTAGTGATATAACTACAAACTTAGTCTATATTGTTCGATTTGTACTTAGGATTGTACAATTTGAGATTGATTACACTTCAGTGACCATATTGTTTCTACATTCACTTCATTTACTATTTAAACATGCGATAACCTGCACAGGCTTTATTCTCTGAAGAAACGGCTTCCACAAGATCATAAAACATCAGAAATTTACTTTCTTGTCTCATTGGAGTTGAGCAATATATATTTCATGTTTTAGCCAGTTACTCAATGCTCAGCTTATTCAGTTCTATAAGGTTAAACTTGACCTTGAACTCTACAATCTCTGAATATTATATATATATATATATATATATATATATATATATATATATATATATATATATATATATATAATATTCTCAATGGTTTTTCATAAGGTACCACATTTATGTGTTGATTAATGAGATTTATGTAGGAGACAATGGAAAGTACACGGAAATTTATGTCTGAGATGTTATGTATAATGAATAAATAAAATCAAATACAGTCTCATTTGAAATGAAACAATGGTGAGATGAGTGTTGATCACAATTTAAATGTATACATAATGGACAATCAGTAGTGATAGGTTACTACAGTGTAACCAACTTCATTTTATCTAGTTCTACTGATGAAATTTTATCCCTCGTTTTGCAATATAGCCACCAGAAGACATGATTTTTATAGTTTTGGTCAAAGTACATCACATGAAATCACCTATTCTTATTGTAAGCTGATTTGTACACATTCAGTGACATTCTGTAATACTTGTGTGTCAGGGCTGAGTATCACTTTAGGGTTTAAAAGCAGTTTAACATTAAGCACAAGTTAGTATGCTAAATAGGCTTCTGTTCATGTAAATTTTCCTTTTTAATGTCTTGCAGATTATGCTGATCTGCTGAGAAATCGCCATTTTCACGTAATGGTTGAACACCAACAAAGACGCTCAGTCACACAGTGTAAGGGTTAAGTGGTTGGAGTCAACTGGGAATAACAAATGGACCAGGGTTTCGTGTTTTGTAGCGCGAAACGAAATGATGCCTTTCCTGAGATTCGAATCCACGTCACTCAGTATTGCTGGTAGCAATGTTATTCCTGAGTTATTCAGGCCGCGATTAACCTCCTGTACTGCTAGGCTGAATGCATTGACTGGTCACGGAAGGGAAACTAATTTATACGTCGTCTCGTCTTGAGTGCTGTCAAAATTCAACTGATCATTTCTCAATGTGGCCACCAGGCTAGGAGGCTCGTCACTGACCAACCAGTCTATCTTAGCCACTCCTACAGGAGGTCATTCATGGCTTAAATAACTCAGCGGTAACGTCTCCAACTGTAGACTCGGTGACGGGGGTTCAAATCTCACAGGCGACATCAATTCAATTGAGGCTGCAGACCACGTCTTGCTGACGAGTGCCAACAAGCAAGAAACCTAAGTACAAAGGCTTATTCGTTATTGCATCCAATCAACTAATACCAAAAGTATCTACATGAAAGTATTCACCTGAGACTCGGAAAAGTAACACTTTCTGTCATAATTATTTCATAAGACTTGAATTTCACTTTCTTGCAGATATGAAGGTACATTATGCTAAAATGTTGTTGACCGTTTCATCTGCTTGCGTTTAAAAAAATTTTCTGATCAACATTTATTCACCACTGTTTTTTGGTGATACAACTTTATTAGACTTTTCAGTGAGAGATTGACATATAATGTTCATTGTTCTAATAGACGCTCCTTCTTCAGACAGTTAACTGATGACAGTTCGTGATGAATACTACCTAGAAATCAGTCAATCTCCATAAACCTTAGGAATGAGTTAACGGATATCAAGCTTTCCCAAACCACTGTATACATCATGTATCTGTCATGTCTTCTGAATTAGGTGGAAAAGAATCTTCATATGCATCCAAACCAAGTTGTGGTTTGGTTTGAAAAAATTTGGGCATTGGTAAATGGTATTCATCATTTTGGGATTTGTATTTCCCATGTAAAACAAAATAAATTTGTTCTAACTAACGTTTCGCTATATTGAATGCTGCTAATAGCTTTATCAAAGTTATAGTAAACCGGAATTTACAGTATCCCCAAGCTTATATATGATAACTTTACAAGTGTTCTTCTGCGTGAACGATTTCGCATTGTCGAATTGTAGAATAAAGATGATATCCATATGTAGTGTGTGTGTGTGCGTGTGTGTGTGTGTGTGTGAAGAATGTAGGAATTACAGATTGGGATTTGTATGCAAGCATGTGTTGACAGTTTTTATAGCATGTATGTTGGTTATGTCAGTCTACAGAGATGGGTTATGACCAGGCCAAACTACGTTTTACTTGCTTATACCTATTTAGAAAGCTTTTATTCACTTAGCGTGAAAAGATTCTGCTATAAGACTTTCTTTATAATTTCTAAAGTCTTTCAGAATAATTTCGATATTATCAAGATCGATCTTACAACCTGAAAGTATACAGTGTAGAGCGATGTGTGAAGTGTTTTCAGGTTTTTTCAGCCGTAGTGAATTTCTAGGGAGTAGAGTGGAATCTCTTCGGTGATCATTTTGTTCTGATTTTGATTTCACTGGGAGTTTTTGTAGGTATACTGCATCGCGGTTTGAGCATTCTATTTGGTTAACATAATTAGATTGTAGATCTAGAGTGATCTCGCCCTTCGAATGGACTAGGGTTCTCTTTAGTGTGTTTGAAGTTCTTTAGAGCACCGTGATATTGTATTTGCTCTGCACTCTCCTAATTTCATCCTAGGCATCCGATCTGTATGGGATAACTATTATTGAGCGCCATGATTTAGGAATGCTTTTATGGTCTAATTAAATATTGTTTTCTTTTTTGCAAATGGGTTTCACCGGTCAACTATTCATCTTAAGTATCTTGTTCAGACATTTTAATTTCTTAATTCTTATTTTCATCCGTTATTCGAGTGTGTGTTCTTATGCGGAGGTGCTGTCTCTACAGAGGTCGAGCAGTTCGTCTGTGTATAGCAACGAGAAGTCATAAATTTCAAACAACAACAAAAATAACAACAACTGATACCCATTACATATGAGGTGGATCTCGCATCCCAGTGGTCTAGTGGATAAAACTTTGGCGTTTGAAGCGATGGGTACTGGGTTCGAGTCTCAGAGAGGGGTGGGAACACTTCCCAGAATGCAGGTACATCTAGCTGACCAGGCCCAAATAGTATGAAATATACTTCTGAGTGGATTCCACTACAAGTCACCGAGGTGAATACAACATAATCCCTAATCAGGCGTTGTTGAGGCATCCACATGGGAGCGCATCAGCCAACACAGATCGAGCAACTCGATCCTGTTTAGAAACGCAAAACTTCAGATATCAAACAATGATATCATCTTTGTTCAGCAGTTCAATAACGCGAAATCATTCATGCAGAACAACACATATCAAGTTATCACATATAAGATTGGGGATAGTGTAAATTCCAGTTTACTATAACTTTCATAAAACTATTAGTAGCATTATGTAAAGCGAGACATAAATTCAAACAAATTTATTTTTTTCCATTGTTTCACTGGAAAATATAAATACTAAAATAATAAATCTTTATAGGTCCTCATTTTCCATAGGTTTTATACGCAGCGATACACACACGTTAGGTGAAACAACAAGGATGTATCGAAAACACGTAGTAGAACTTGGAAGAATATAAAGAATAATTACACATCTTAACAAATGAACACACAGATACACATACACGCTTTTACACAGCCTGCTGATGCAGAGTAGCATAGATTTATTCTATCTCATAGACATCATCCAGGTACCACTTTAGTTCCATGATGCGACAGTTATGTTTCAGTTATATGAACTCTTTTTATTCATCGATAATGGATTTATCATAGATGCATTCCAGTAGAATTCTTGTGGCTAAATTTATCAGTTGAGACTCAGCTATTTTTACGATTCCTAAATTCTCTCACACAACATGAACTCATGTTACAATTAATGTTAAGTTTGCATTCGGATGATACTGCTACTGAACAATCTGAGTAGTTAGAAACCACTTAGGCTGATCTGTAGCATTTTATCAGCCAACCAGATCAGAGTGATCTAAGTAACACCGGACTGCTGTTTCACTCATTTGGGGCTAAGCTCATTAGCGGTGTACCTGAACAAATTCATCACATACCTGACTTGCATGAACCAGTATACCTAAAACATATTGGTTGATTTGCAAATTACTTTTGCACAAGATTTATCTAGGTAGCACAATCTAGACTTATAGTCAGATGATAGCTCTCATCAGTGAATGTTTCAGTGTTCTGAATAGCTATGAAGGTGACTCAACTAACTATTAAAACAACCAAAGAGAAGTCTTTATTTCATGTGAAAACGACCCTCACAATTGAAATAATTGGCTATTTCGGCAGCTGGGAGGGTGGCCTTCAAAGACACTTAATGCCTTAGTTTTAACTTTCGAAGTGTTAGTTAAATACTTTGATTCAGTTGTTGTAGGATACTATCACAGTTCAGTCTTAGAACATTTGATCGATTCTGGTCACCAGGTGGACCTGCAATCTGACTCCAATAAATCTCATGAAAGCTATGCTAAGAAACTTCTTCAAAGTGTGAAATCAATGGCAGTTTATGTTTTGAAGCCTGAATTCTGCATGCCAATAAAGGTTGTTAAGTCATTAGACTTGTATTAAACTTTACCTGTGTAAAGATCTTACCTTACTGCTTTATTACGACTTCTCCCCTTATGAAATACCCTTCTGCTTTACCAGTCTAACTTGGGATTATTTAACTGTACTCAGTGGACTTCAAGTTAGTGTTCGTCACAGAATGATATCATGTGGAGAACTGTCGTAAACCCAAGACCGCCAGACAGTTATTTCGTCCTAACAGGCGACTCCCTAGCGGTGATCACCAATGACCCTGGCAGTGATCGAACTCAGGACCTTCGGATTCCGCAGTCAGCACGTTTTTATTGGGCCAATGTGTTGGAATCCAGTGGCCGACATCTTTCTAGTCCTGTCAGTTTACTATATAATGCGACTTTCCTCCAGTGGCATCGATAAGCACCTATTCTCACGTCTGGTTCACCACACTGGTTACGACATCTCACGCTGATGCTCTCAGGTTTTCAATGGCTGTCTAGCTGACGTCAATCCATGACGAGTAGCAACTTGAAATGGATAAATCCCAGCAAACCTCCGAACTGAATTACCCAGTTTTTTAATGTTTATTATATTATGCAACTTAGTTATTTGCCCTTGTTTTAGCTTTCGATGAACCTTCACTATCACATTGTATAACTTAATCAAAACCCAATTTTGTTAACACGCTTTTGAAAATATTCCTTTTATGTTACCCATTCAATATAATACGTATATATGCGATTGTACAGCTTGAAAATGAGTTGCCGAGAAGAGCAACTCTTCGCTAATGATGATATTAGTTTATAGAAGGTGTTGTAGATCACTGAGGAGTTACATGCTCAAACCTCGTCATATCAAAGGTTTGGCAGTTATTCAGTATTATTATCTCGCATAAACGCATATCGTGAACATACCAGTACATAAATGTATAAGTGGTTAGTACAACTCAGTACCGAGTGTTTTTCTCTGTGTTAAGGAAACATTTAGCACTGAACTGTGAAGATGGTCATTACGCAATCACTCTTAGGATAACTTAGAGGTATTCAAGGGCGCTGACGTACTTGTCTGTTTATGAAGGTAACATTGTCAATAAAAACGAAGAAAGTAGGACAATCTTTTCAGTATGAGATGAAGATTTTTCTTCAACTATATGCTTACTTTTTATTATCTGATTTCATTGTCAGAGGAAAGGAAAGATTCTTAAGATGATCAACGCTGATATGTTTTTCGTTCCGTTTACATTATGACCTGAGTGCTTTAATATAACAGCTCACCAGTTTCAAAGCATATCTATACTCCTCCACTGTGTTATTCTCATCTCTTTGAGAACATTCTCCACCATCCATTCAATGCATTTTGAATTCTACTGACTTTTTCAACAAATAGTCTTCTCTTATTAGTTCAGATAGGCGGAAATTATTCACATTAATAAAATGTACACAATATATCAATAGGAAGTGATAATTTTTGTCTAATAAAGTAAGTGAAACGAAAATAAAAAGGCTGAAGTAGCAACCAAGATTCGTTGCTATGGTCATGCTTCGTAGGACTGACTAGTTCAATCGATAATGTCGTAGTGCTCAAGGCTATGCGGGCCAGCATTGTGGTCCTCATGATTAATCCAACCACTCACTGTTTGTAAGAAACATCAACCTAATCATTCCTGAAAATAAGTCGAAGTGAGAATTTTAGCCCCCACCACGGAATGACACAAGTCTACTAATATTCAAATGTTGTCTTGGGTTTCTACTTGAAGTTATTCAGATTAGTAGTTGTTTTTTTCAAAACAATATGATCATCGACTTCCGATGGACGTAATTACTCCTGTACATCGTAATGGAAAGGGATTACTAGTTGTAAGACTAAAAAGTATCTGAATTCGTTTAATCTCAAAGAATTTCACAAGTGTTTTAGACATTTACAGAGGAAACTTGAACTTGAATAACTAGGGAACCAACTACGATGATAACTTGGAGAAAGTCAACAATATCTAAGCCATACTACTTAGTGCTTACGACAAGTAAAATCACAATTAAACGATGAGAACATTTTAGTATACTTACTGTCCACATATGAAGCAGTCTGAACGAAACTCTCGGTAACAGTTCTTAGAATATCTCCAGAACCCATTTGATCATATCTAGAATCCAGCAATTCACTGGTAGATTCAAATTTTCTACCTTTTCTCTGATGTTTTAACTCCTCACTATAACACTGATCAATAAGTTCATCTAAAAAGTTGTCCACATGTCTTGCTGGAACATTTGTATAAACACGTGTTCTACACAAAGGACAAGTATGACGTATCTTAAACCAATAATATAAACATTCACGACAAAATTGATGACCACATGACAAGAGACGTGCTCGAACCAATAGACCTTGACATATTGAACATGTAAATGATTCTTTAATTAACTGGTCTAATACTGTATTCTCTGTGAGTTGAATATTATCTAAATTGATAAATGTTGTATTTTTATATGTTTCAAGTTGATTCAATATTTCAGTTGTATTTTCATTTCTTTGATGAGTATACGATTGTGCATCAACTAGGCAAGTTGGTAATATTTCAGCAACTTGAGTTGAACGATTCATAAAAGGCAATTTCATGTCGGTTGATGAATGTATCATTATAAGTGAGGAAGTGCTGTTAGACAATCAATTAGTTAGTTAGTTAACTAGCTGAATGATTCAGTGATCCAATTTACTCACACTAACGTATTTATACGTAAACGTATATCTTGTTTTCTGTACGGATCATCTGACTTCATGTGATACATACACATATATATAAGACCTAGGTGTAAGTATTAACCAATTAAATTCATGCTACAAAATACATTTCTAACTAGACTGACTGATTTTCACTGTTTAATTGATCATTGATCCTTGCTTTTTGCGTTTGTTTTTCAATGATTATGTGAATTAGCCTCTAGCTGAATCGATTACGTAGTATACTAATTATGGTGAGATGAAAAATAATTCTATAATATTTGCAAAACTCATTGGTAATTTTTATTCGTAGTAGATATAAATGTACAAAATTAGTATTACTAATTCAAAGTAAATCTACCTAACACACTGGTGAATTTGAAGTACATCAGAATCTGCAATAAACTAGAATATAAATGATTCTCAGGTTGGTGAATTTAAGGATAATTTATAATTACTAGTCACTGGATTAGGATTCAAACTTATGCCAGCTAACACTGCTTGAATAGATGACTGGCAACATTTGTGAGCAAAGTACTAACCTACTCAGTGATGGAAAATAAGTTCTGCTGATAAGCTCCAGTAGGGACGAAACTTTAGTTGACAACGTCCTAGCAACTGACTCCAATAGCCCAGTATGTTCATAAAAAACATGTGAAAAGAAAGATTTCACTCAAGCTTAGAGTTTGATAGCGTTAATCCACCAGCTTGAGACCCACGTGTATCTTCTAAACGTTCTTCAAATGAATTTTGAGGGAGTGGTGGGGATTTGGGAATTTTTCAAGTTGTTATTCATTGTAGACTGACACCAGTTGAAGGAACAAAGAAACCTGAGAGCACTGGACAGCTGGCTGTTTCCTCCTTGTATGGGACTCCTCAGCAGCGCGCACCCACGACCCCGCCAGGGATCGGACCCGCGACCTTCACCTTCCTTTGCCAGCACGTTACCATTGAGCCACTTGGTCAGAATCCAATCGTCCATATTTCCAACTTCTGTTAGCTCAGTATATAGCTCAATCGCCACTCAATGTCATCGTTGAGTAACTGTCTTCACGACCATCAGGTTTTGCCCCCACCGGTCACAGCTTCTCATTGGAACTTTGGGAATACTTCTCGAAGCTAGTCACCAATGAGCACCAGTTCTTCAAATGGTTGGCAATAGATTCTATGAGACATTTTTCTATTTTCCTCTTCTTTCATTACATATCACAAAGTGATACAGCATTACTTGATGGATACTCACTACCGATTGTCTATGTTTCAGTTTCCATGACCTGAAGGTTCTGGGTTCAACTTCTGGCAGGATAGTGGATGCGTGTTGCTGAGGGGTCCCATAGTAGGATGAAACACTTGTCTAGTACTCCCAGGTTTTCAATGGTTATCCAACTGATGTCAGTCCGTGATGAATACTACCATAAAAATCTAAAATCCCCATTAAGATCAAGAATAAATTATGCGTTTACCAACCCACGTGTTTTTACAAGCCTGGAAGGACAGAGACGATGGCTGAAACTCGAGCCCGGTGAACACACCCCAAATAAGTTAAGCTTCAAGGACAGAATGTGTTTTAAAAGTGCAATGAATAAAAATCTGATTGATAATTAACTATAATTCGCAGAACCAGCTCCTATCAAAAGAATTCAACCGAATTTGTTCATCCAAAAAGAGGCAGTTGTTGGCCTCCAACTTCTATGGCAGCCATTGATTTGTTTCATCATTCAGTATAACTCCTTCCCTTATATACTTTTGTATTTTCATCCTCTTTTATGACAGATTTCACAATCAATTTCTACTTTGAAAGAATTAGTCCCTTTATATGCATTTGGATAATGTATTTAGAAGTAGATTTTCTGAACACTGCGATTTATCTGAGCCATACATTCCGAACAATTTCACATCACACATTTACTTGTTAAGGTATTATATGTGAAAACTGAAAGTGCAGGAAGGACAAATATCAAGTACAAGAACCTAGTAACAAGAAGTGTAATGTAGGGAAAGTGATAATATTCGAAGATAATCTTGGTAACTCTACTAGTTTAGCGTAAGGACAAACTATTTTTAAGCGCACAACAAGGCGTTAAATTTGTGTACGGCTAGTGCTTCAATAAACCTTAACTTATTGTTTTTATAGTTTCTATGACAAATTGTGAAGACTGTTTTAATGCTGTTCCTGTGACCTTTATCAATAATATGTTCGTCAACTGATGGTGACATGTGTCTGCCACATAAGCTTATCGATGTTTGGGAATCTGGCTGCCTTTACAGCTATTATGACACATGAACCCCCACCTCCAAGCGCATATTCAGATCAGCCTTTCCTATGTACCTTGTCCACACACGCAAATCCATAAACATGTAGACTGATAAACTCAGTGGGATGTGACACAGTCATTTATACAGTGATGAGGTCTGTGTTCCAACATATGTTTGGTGTTATCAGCTACGATATGCTTACCTGCATAGTATGTTTGTAGACCTTAGCCTTAATTTCAGAATTAAACTGTGAGATTCCCTTCTTCGGAACATACCACAGACAGGGTTTCAATGTTGGCTGATTTTCGCAACCGCTCATGAACTTCAATGAATATCCATTTTCATTAGTGTTTTCGTTAGTTTCAGTGACCATTCTCCATTCATTATCTTTCTTATTATTAAATTCCTTTATATCACATTCATCCTTCCCTCACCTCAAGTTTTCTTATAAAAATCCTACTTTATGTGTTCAATTTAAAATCTTTTTGCCTACAAAGATCGATTCAATTAGGCAAAATAATTTAGTGTACCAAATCCCTTGCGTTGATTTTGAGATTAAATACATAGGACAGCGTAGTCAACCAAGTGCAATTAGAACAACGGAGCACAAAACTAAGCTAAATCAGGATTAGTAGGTCTTAAAGGGATAAGAAATTTAAAAAAGCTCGGCTATAGCTCCCCAAGCAATTACACACAATCACACAGTAGGGTGGGATAGGGCAACAGTATTGAAAGCTAACTTAGCTGGGTGGAGGGACAGATTGACAACTGAATCTTGGTTTATGGAATCAATACCAAATATATCCAATGTGAATGCTTCTTCTCGTGTCCCAGGTATATGAAAAATTCTACTACTCTTTTCACAAAAAAGGACTGAAGATTAGAAATATATAAACTATGTCTCAAAGCTGTTGAGTTACCTGATACGAATATGGACAAGAAATTGTCTGAAACGTTATCCAGTGAATAATACTGTTCCATTGAGTGAAAATTCTAATAAACAGACTAAAATGAAATCTCGTGAATCTCCTCAGTTGGTATCAATTCTTTCATCATCTCATCAATCGACTATCATCTTTTCGATAAATGAATTATGTAGATTGTATTCCCCTGTTTCTGTCTGTGTCTGTCTGTCTCTCTCTCTATCTCTCCCTGTCTGTCTTTCTATCTCTGTCTCTGCTCTCTCTGTCTCTGTCTCTCTGCCTCTCTCTCCCTCTCTGTCTGTCTGTCTGTCTCTCTCTCTCTCTCTCTCTCCATAATATATATATATATATATATATATATATATATATATATATATATATATATATATATATATATGTATCGTAAGATTTTATAGCCTGTACGCAATTGAAGAGATGACGAAGGAATAAAATGAATTCATCGTAATTCAGTATCAGTATACGTTTCAGATGAGGATGTCAAAGCCAACCAGGATCGGAAAGACAGCATGACAGTTCTTCATTAACCTGAAATCAGTGTGGAGATCTACTGCACTGCACTTAGCATAAACAACAAGATCCGGATTTTCAACATTAACATCAAGTCGGTGCTGCTATATGGCTGAGAAACTTGGCGTGTCACGGAAAGCATTTCCAACAAACTGCAGACATATATCAACAGCTGCCGTCTACGCTCACTCGATACTGAAGATCAGATGGCCAGAATAATAAGAATAAGCAAGAAGAAACTCACTCTGACAACGAACTAACCAAGAGGCTATCGCCCAACAAATATGCAGAAGAAAGTGGGGATGGATTGGATTGGACATACACTTAGAAGACCGTTTGGGGACATCACGCACCCAGGCCAGGCCCTCGAGTGGAACCGAAATAGGAAACGACGAGTTGGGTGTCCGAGGCGAGGGTGACATGGAGGAGATCGTGTGAGGAAGAAATGAAAGCTTGTGGGCAGTTGTGGAGCCAAGTTAAGAAAGAAGACTGTAGAGAACAAAGTGAAATCGAGATGTGCTACTGGATCTTTATGTTCCACTAGGAACCCAAGGGACAAATAATGATATAATATAATGTTTTGCATCAATTAACAAAAATCTGAATTTGAAATAGCATCAAGCATATTTCTGCTTCGCTCAGTTAAAATTTTCATCTGAGAAGTGTCTAACGGCTAGTTTTCTGATCCCTTGTATGAAACATTCTCCGTTTATGTCTGTCGTAATTGTCACTATTAAATGTAATCCATTGCTAAAGTGTGACGATTGTCCTGTGCTCAAATAGACAGCAGAAGTAAGTAAAAATGATTTTAAAAGCTGATAGATGAAGTTATTTTTGAACTAAGATCAAGATAGACTACTACTGAATTAATTATCATAAGAAAACAACTTCAGTTGTAAATTTGACCATTCAAGGTCATCATGAGTACATTGGAAAGTTAAGAGTTGCAGATTGACAGTGATAAATTCGTTATTCGTATCTGAAAATAAATTGGCCTCAGTGGCCTAGTAGTTTTGAGTCTCACTCGGAACAATATCATTCACTGTGATGCAAGTAAATACAGCTGACGGGTGCGTCCCATATGGGACGAAATGCTGATCCTCGACTCCACTACCATCCAAGAAGTAAACTACTGATCGATAAAAGCTATTTAATTATTCCAATATCCCACAGAAGTTCATTCATGAAGCGGAAACAATTTATTAACTGTTATAATTCATTCAAAAATGCAGCCAAATTATGTTAGTCATAAGTAATCCGTAGTTCATGATCTAGTAGATTTCCAAATAGCTTTGTGAATTGTCTGTTTACAAATAGTTGTTATTTTGGAA